ATAAAATATTATATATAAAATGTTATATCTGCAAAAAACTATTCAAATATTTCATTCAAAAAAAGTATAAAATTTGTATTTAAAAGTTATTTAAAATATAATTTAGTAACATTAATAAAAAATTATTGTGTGTATGTGCGTGTGTATGGTATGTGATGTGTGTGTGTATATATATATATATATATATATTAATTTATGTTTTAAATTTGATAATTCATTGATTTCTAAAAATATAATATAAGAAATTGATTATGATTATGATAAATAATTTAAAAAATTATTAGTTATATAAAAAGTTATATCAAAACTTGTGAATACGTCGAGATTAAACTAATCATCATTTATATATTATCTACAAATGTAAGGTTATATACTTATTAATTGATATAATGATTATTTTGAACAAATATTTTATTCATTAAAATCTATCTATTATCTATTATCTAATAAAAATAATTTATGCATAATAAAAGATCTAATACACTTTTGAACAAATATAATAGATATTTTTTAAATATTAAATTCTTTTAATATTTTTTTGTTTGTAAAAAATTTTGTGATTAATTTTAAACCTCACAAGTTTTTGATTTAATTTTATAAATGTATAATAATATATTATTATATTATATATATATATATGTATATTATAATATATTTCCTTATGTAAAGTTCAAAAATAATATCTAGTCTTAAATTTCAGAAACTCTAAATATGAAAACACATATGCATATGCACTGAAACTTATGATGTAATGTATTATTTATTACTATTCGAATATATTGTCTTTATCCACAATCTGTTTATTGTTATATTTGTCTATCTATTTATTATTATAAATAAATACATATAATAATCATTTTGGCAAGATAAAAATTTTATGTAATTATAATATGTAAAATTATTTTAAGGAGTTATGAAAGTTCTATTACATATGTATAAATATGCGAAACAATTGAAATAAATTATATCTTTCAAAATAGAGATTAATTTGCATGGAATAAAATACAATTTAAAATTAATTTTATATATTGTTATGTATTAATACATTTAAAAAATATAATTGCATCTAATTTTTAAATAAAATTCTTTTAATTGTTCTATTTTTACTATAATATTTACAAAAAATTTATGAATAATATATTTATAAAATGAGTTTAAAGATTATTATAATTTAAAATTTGTTAAATTATATTAGATATATTTATTTAAATATATAGATATATTTATTTAAAATATTTATGTTATAGTAATCCTTCATTTATTTTTTTAAAAGTTCAATTAGTCTAAATCGCGAACGTTTTCGCAAATAGTATCATACATCTCAAATATCTATATAAATACTGAATAATTATATGTATTTATTTAATCATGTTATAAGTAAATATATATGTTACATTTATAAGTAAACAAAATTCTCTAAAGAAAATTAGTATTTTTATTCTATTTGTTGAATATCAAAAAAAAAAAGAAATTGGATAATTATTTTAAATGCTTTAAAATGAAATTAGGTCAATTTTATTTTCAATTTTTTAATTGTTATTATTCTTACTATATTAAATATGAATTTTTTGTAGTAAAAAAAAAATGGATACTTCATCAAAAAACAATAATCACAATTTAAATCATGCTATAGCAGGAGCTGTTAGTGGTTTTGTAACAAGATTTGCTTGTCAACCTTTAGATGTTGTAAAAATTAGATTTCAGGTAAAAGAATTTATATCATGTGGAATGCAATGACAATACTTATAATGCTATGTATAGATTTAAAAAGAATTCCATTATTATAGTTACAAGTTGAACCTATTGCTAACTATCATGTTAGTAAATATCATTCTTTTTTACAAGCATTTTATTTAATACTTAAGGAAGAAGGTATTACAGCATTTTGGAAAGGACATATTCCTGCTCAATTATTATCAATTGTATATGGAACAACTCAGGTGAATATATATTTTATGAAATTTTTGATTTTTTATAATGTAATTTTTTATTTTTATTATATTTTATTTTTATATTTTTAATTGGAAAAAGCATAAAAATAATTTCTAATATTTGTAATATTCATCTAAATTTAAATATTACATTTGATATTGTCTAAATTTTATAATTTATTTCAGAAGTTTT